GTTCAGGAAAAAACCTTTTTCCGAACCGGTTAACCGATTGGCGAAAAAAACGATTTTTCCTGAACCGGTTTTTTTCACCCGAACCGGTTTTCCCCAAAAACCCGGTTTTTACACACTAAAAATCGGTTTTTAAACAGAACCGTCTGTTCTAGGGCTTTTTCTCATATATTTGTCGCTTATTACAAAGCAAAGTAGAATTAGAAATTGAAGGAAAACCGCGATTCTGATACAGAACCGGTTCGGCGGTTAACCGGTTCGCGAACGGTTTTCGGTTAACCGGTTCTCTTCCGGTTTTCGGTGCACCGGTTTTTTGCCCATCTCTGAACCGGCATGCCAGTTCGAAAAAAAAAGGAACCGGAAAACCGGTTAACCGGAAAACCGCCCAGCCCTACAGCGAATGACTGTAAAAGGAGCAACGTCATACAAGATCGCTCTCCCAGGAGTGATCGAATTGGACTCGAGAAAGCGCTCTGCCGGAGCGAGCATCGGTCTCTCCTTTAGATCGTCTGTATTCTGATATTTACGCATTTGTTTGCTGCCATAAACAAACATTTGCTGATTAAAAAAAGGAAATATGATATAAAAAAACTTCGTTGCCATTTGTTAACAAAATTGTTTATACCTTATCGTTGCACAAATACTCAGCGTTTTCTCGCTCCAAAAATGCCGACTGACATTTTATATTGATTAATGCGATAAAGTAGCGGAATATTTTACCGGCCCAATGGACTTGCAACTTTGTCGGCCCGGTTTGTGTATTAAAGATAATAGTGGTGCATGCATAAACAATTGTGCATGAGAGTGATGTGTGTGTATGTGTGAGTGAGTGAGTGAGAGGGTGAGAGTGTGTGTGAGATAGATGGAGAGGGAGGGATAGTCGATTTTTAACGAAATGATGATTGGTGTTTGCTAGACGCAGGGTTCGGCCTTTTTCCCCCGGTAAAATTTAACAGCCCCTCTTAAGACCGATCACTACAAAGGTCAGCCAATGCCAGTTCGCAGAGCTCCTGACAGGTAACATCTTGCGTCAGGCGCGTTTGTGTACTGTGGTGCAATCTACCCTAAGCATCGCGGGCGCTAAGCTTCCACCAGCTCCGTCAAGCGCACACCGCCCAATGCCGATAGAATGAACCCTATCACACTCGTGCTAAGAAACTGAATCCATACGGGGATAGGGAGTGGGGGGAAGGGGGGTGGGAATTTAGATGGGCGTGAGAAAGAGATAATATAATTCGTTAGGTGTAAAGCTGCATACAGAGAATAAAGCTTCACCAGAACCAGTTAGTAGGCGTCTAGTATTGTGACTCTATCTCTGCTAGTACATAACACCAAAATCCTAGTACTATTTTTCTAGTAATAATAACTAGAAGTCATTTAACTAGGAGATGTGTAGTAAATCGTCCTGGGTCTTTTTAGCGTACGTTTTCGAGCATTATAAAAAAGTATATTTTCTTGGTAAGAATTTTAGAGTACCTCTATAACGGAAAGACAAAGTTGTACAGTTTGCAGTAGTAGAAGAATTATTTTTTGAACAGCAAAAATTTCTGGGACACCTTTGTGGCCTGTTCATTGCTGTAAATTAGTAAGAAGTTACTAGGGAGATGTATGCCAGACCACATCTTGTGTAACAGGCTTCGCAATATCTCACAATACACTACGCTGCGACGCGCCTGGCGTACATCTAACTGGGTCTGCGTTGTTGACACCCGAATCGGACATCATAAAGCCAACCATCTAAATTTGGTCGAGAGAGAAAATTTCAACCAAGGGCTCTCGAGCTAGTTACCCCTTCGAAAACCCTAAAAATATAATCAAAATTCGTACAGTTGTTCTTAAATTGCCCGTTCTTAGCCAATTATGTTTGAGCTGGACGGCTCAAAATCAATACAGTTCTGGTTTCTTTGTGATGGTAATTTGCCCTTAAAATTTCTGGTACCAAGCTAATCTGTTCTTTAGCGATCGTGAGTGCAGACAAACACACAGACACGAAACTTCTCACTGTAGCTCAGCTTACTAATCGATTGGTGGTCTCTTCATAACATACTAATCTTGAAGTTGTTCGATTTACGACTAAACGTTCGAAAATGTATACCTGCGGTTGTAAATCATAAAACAGATTGTACACTGTTAAAAAAATGTCTGTAATTTTACAGGAAATGTTTAGCTAATTTTGGGGGCAAGTGGTGTCGTAAACTATTTTTTACAGCGCAGTTGTAAAATTACGACAAATGCCATGATACCCAAAAAACGTTGACACCTTTTTTACGTTTTCAAGGTAGCGCTGTAAAATTACAGAATAGCTGTCAGACTACAACATCGGTTGTAGAATCCGCCATATAAATATTTCGGATATTATTATTTTTTTCCGTTTTGGTATGATAATTTGCGTGTTTCTCATGCATTTATCGTGAGTTTTTTCCTCGTTTGAGGACTTTCTTTGCAACTTTTGCACTTTGCAAAGCAGTTACCCACGAAAAACCTGTGGATTTGTAAAAATCAGGATAACTTTACAACCGCGCTGTAATTTTACAGTGCCACCATAATTTTACAGCTGTGTCAATAAATTACAGCATTCCTCGTAAAACTACAGCTCCAACCAAAATCGTGTTTTACGGATAGAGCTGTTTTTTTCCCAAAAGCCTGTAAAATGTTCAGCTGTAAAATTTCGATATATTTTTAACAGTGTACATTTGAATTTTCGGGTTTTTTACAGTGACATAACACTACATCTTATTTCTAGCCGCGAAGGCTTACGTCCACTTGAAAATAGATCTACTGTGTCTTCTTGGCTGACTTACGTTTCAGAAGGCGCAGCAGTTCTACAGCCTCTCCGCAACCCGTAACGTTTCGGTTGGGCTCTCGCTGGGAACTGAATGAAGAGCGTGTTGGACAGGAGGCGATGCACCGCCTAAATCCGACAGTCGCAGCTCTCGATGAGAGAGTGAGAGAGACAACATCACACTGCTCGCTAATGCTAAAAGCCACGAAAGAAACTGCTCGTGGTCGGTCGCACCTGGATCGGAGTGACCGACCTCACAGCAGAAGATTAATTTGCACACTGTCAGATATCAGAAAATATGCCAGAATGCGATATCAAAAAAAGTATATCGAAGAGATATGCTATCGCTAAAGGAACTTCAAAACCTTATGCCAAATTTAGGATGTCTGAGTAATATAGGTATACGATACTCCCTTCAAGATTTTTTCCCACGGGACAAACTTACAACAAATTTGTAAATAATAATTACAAAACACACTCTAAATGTCAAGGGACACTTTTGTCCGTAGATTTGCAACGATTTCGTGCACATCCAGAAAGGATGCAATTTTGTTCCTAAAACTAGACAAATTGTGTGAGGCTTCACACAATTTTGTCCAACGGAACAAAATTGCATCCTTTCTGGATGTGCACGAAATCGTTTCAAATCTACGGACAAAATTGTCCCTTGACATTTAGAGTGCATATTGTAAATTTACTTGGACATTTTTCACGGTGTCGGGCTGTATTAACTTGCTCGAGTACTGGCTGCCAGTACGCTATGCAAATTAACCTTACACCCAAAATGACATTCGGAAATTCCAAAATTTTAACACTTTGAACTGTGATACTACGGAACAGCAGTACACTATAAATTGCAAAACTAATCATATAAGGTTTAAACTGTAAAGTTGCGCACTTCGAACTGAATGTTTTCAGGTTTCCGTTTTTAACTGCAAGAGTTAAGTTTGCACTGCTATCTTGTGACACATTTTCTTGTGTAAGGGAGTTTTTCTGGTTTAATTTTTCAAATTTTGGATGTTTTGTTAAAAAAAAAAAAAAAAAACTCTAGCAAGTATGCAAATGGTTTCAGTGCTACCGTGCTTTTAAAAACAACACACGGTCACTGCGCACTCATCACCAATATCAAGAAGCTTACTTTCGAAAAAAACACCAATTGCCAATAACGATCGCGGCGTATTTTTACGAAATGGATCGATGACGTGTTGAGCCGCGAAAAAAATCAAGCACATGTTGAGCCGAGCCATACGCTGCCGTGACCTTCCGCAACGGCTAGCGATGCCCATTGGAGCGGCGATACCCCAGCCAGCCGGCCGAAGATACTCCCGAGCCACAAACAAACAACTTGCAGTCATTATTTACAAAAATCGAGGTCTTGCCTAAAACTTTTAAAATGTAATTTCATGTAAGTCACCCTCGGTTTACTGTGAAAATTGACGAGTTCTTAACTCGACACTATAGTTTGAAAGGCGTGTAGTTCAACCGCCCATTTCAAGACTAACGCAATTCAGCCCCTCAATCAAAATAAAATGTCATAGCCGGTGTTCCATGTTTCTGACAAAATTTACCAAATGACTCCTAAAGTACTAGAGGTATGAAATTTTGTGACAAAATGTATATACTAGACCCTAGGCCCTTGGCCCTTCTGCAGTGATGCCGACAGTATGGGGTTATAAGATCGTTTTGTTAACACACCTTTTATTTCAAAATTTTACTCATAT